ATCTGTGAGGCTCTCTTAAACCAGAAGTTTTTCAATGGAATCGGGAATTACCTCCGCGCTGAGATCCTGTACAGGTAAGGTGGGTTGAGTCCGCGCTGACCTGCCGGCGAGGTTTGGTCTCCAGCAGCTGGCCAGAGCTTCACGGCCCCTCACCTAGTAGACATGGGCAAGCGCCGGAACCAGGAGTTCAGGCGTGCATGTAACAGAGGGACTCTCTCAGGTTGAAGATCCCTCCCTTCGAAAAGGCTCGGACCGTCCTGGAGGCCCTGAAGGCTCAGGAGCAGGCGAGGAGGAAGAAGGTGGGGAGTACCTGGTGCTTTCGTAGGCTCAGGAAGAGGCAGGTTTCCAGACAGCCGCCGTACCAGGGATGTGTTTGCCTGTGGCCCTGCAGGACATCTCAGCAGCTCCTTGGGGTCCCAGGAGACTCTTACCTTGGGTGCAGGGAGCTGGGGTGAGCTGAGAAGCGTTCCTGGGTTGGGTTTGGGCTCAGCAGAAACGCAGGTGGCTCAGTTTTCTTCTAGCCCCGAGTTTGGGCTCAGCTGGCTGCCTTGCTCTGTCGTTGATTTGGGCTTAGCTGGGCACGAAGCTCCAGTTCAGGTCTGCTGTTTCAGGCTGTTCCAGCCCAGGGTTCGGGGCCAGTTTCGGTTCATGTTTGGTTCCTCGCTCTGATGGGGCAGAACATTGCATTGTCACGAGGCCCTTTGCAGAGCTCGCACAGCCTCTGCCCACACTGCTGCTGGGAGGTGTTTGCTGCTTTGAGTCTTTCCCAGCCCCACAGCAGGCATTTTCCCTTCACAACTATAACATTTGCTGGGCGAGAACTTTCTCCTCCGGCATGTTACTGTCCTTTGCCATAAACACTCAGGTCCCAGCACGTCTGCCCCTCCAGCGGAGCGGCAAACAGGGTGCAGTGGTTCTGTAAGCTCACATGTGTGGGGCTCATTTGCACGTGGCCAGGCTGGTGAGCTGTGACAGCTCCCGGGCACATGCTTGGGTTCTGTGCTGGTGCCCGGCTTCTGCCTCTCTGGGTGTATTTGGGGGCGAAGAGGAAGGGGCAAAGCAAACAAACACCTTGCAAGCTTCACATCTCTGGGGAAGGCTGCAGGAGAGCCCAGGGCGATCTCATGGCCTGGAGGGAGAGGAAGCAGCTGTTTTAAACAAGCCTGAAAACAAACCACACGCCCTGAGGGCTGTTTTTACAAACTGCTGGTGTTCCTGTGTGCTCCTTCACGTCTCTGTAGCTGTGGGGAATGTGCTAATGCACAGCTCCAAGCCTGCAGTGGGGTGAGATGAGGGCTGGGGTGTGCCTCAGGGCACGCAGTGCGGATTTTGGCAGCTCACCTTCAGGAGGAGATGGGGAATGTGGCTGCTGTTGGGGAGGAGAGACCCCCAAGGAGGCTGGGGTGGCTGGCAGGTGACTTCCCTTCTCCGCCCCTGCAGAATCCTTCCCTGACACTGAGCAAGAAGCTGAAGCTGAGGCGGGAGAACCCGGATCTCCTGGAGCTGTGCCACACCGTGCCCATGGAGGTCATCGCGGCGGGTGAGGTGACAGGACAGGGAGCCAGGGGACAGGGGCAGGGGGGCTGGCAAGGAGGCCTGGGCAGGTCACTGCTTCCTCTCTGTTCCTGTCCTTTCCTGCTCTCCCTTCCCAGAGAAAAAGCTCTTGGACCCAGATGATGCGGATAACCACACCGCTTTCAAGAAGTGGCTGCAGTGCTACTTGGTGCCTGGCATGAGCTCCCTGCGCGACCACAACGGCAGGACCATGTGGTTCCAGGTAGGAGCCTGGGGGTGCTGCCCCCAACCTCTCCTCCAAGGGGACACCAGCCCATCTTCTCCCTCCCGAGACCCCCCCAGCATTATGCTGTGTTGCTGGGGGTCTCCCTCTCTGCCACACTGCTGTGACTGCTGGATGTGGAGGCAACAAGGCCCCTCCGTGCGGTGGCCAGCTGGCCAAGGGATGGCAGGCAGGCTGGAGCAGAGGGGCTGATCGCGGGAACAGGGGCCTCGGGGGGTCTGGCAGCCCTTTTTCTCCCCCCTGTGCCCCATATTTGGGTGAGGTGGCCTGGGGGGGCCTTGCAGAAGGAGCAGCGGCTGACGGAGGAGTCCTCGAAGCACAGAGCAGGCAGAGCAAGCCCAACTCCCCCGGCTTCCTGGGGAAACACAGCTGTTGCCCTCTCCCTGTCTGGGCTGCGGGGTGAAGGTGCACGGATTCTGCTGCCGCTACGTGCAGAATAACCGCTCCCCAGTCACTGCTCTGTCCCCTTCCTTGCAGGGAGAGCCTGGCCCCATGGCTCCCAAAGGTGAGTGTCTCCTCCCCACGGGACCCACTCTTGCTCAGGGAGGGCTGGAGGCTGGGGGCAAATGCAGGAGCAAAGCCCCTCTCCTGGGTTGCTGATGGGCCTGTGATGGCACTGGGGGATGAAGCCCGCTGTGCCCAAGGGTTCCTAGCAGCACCCACCTGCCTGGGCACAGCCTTGGTGCCCACAGGGTGCTCTTCTGCGCCTGGGAGCCTGAACTGAGCAGGGTTTTGGCAGGGAACAGAATGCGGTAGGAGGGGAGAGGAGGCCCCTCAAGCCCTTCCTGCCAGTTCCCCACCTTAGCCAGGACACATCGTCCAGGACAGCATCCCTGAAGGGTCACTGTGCCTCTTGCAAGGCGCAGGCACTCCCTGCCCCATCACCCCACCCGACCTGGACATGTCTTCTCCCGCAGGGCGGCCGTCCCGCAAGAAGCACACTCAGCAGAAGGCAGATCCCGAGGCTCCGACCCCCAAAGTAAGAAGCTTTGGGGTCGGTGTGGCTCCTGCAGGGTCTAGAGGCTGTCCTGTTCACCGTGCCCTGCTCAGGCTGCCCCCGAGTTCAGCATGGGGCTACCTGGAGTTCCTCATCAGCTGGCCATCCAAACACACTTCTGCTAAGCTGGGCTCTGATGTCCCCCCAGCTCACTACACGTGCTTCCAAACGGCGCCCCAGGGCTGCAGCGAAACCCCCAGAGCCAGTCAAGGAGGAGGAGGAGGCAGCTGATGGGCTGAGGAAGGGACGTTCTCGCGGGAGGAGGAAAGCGACTGCTGCTCCGGCCTCATCTGAGCCCGAGGCGCCGGTCAAAGCCAAAAGAAGCCGCCGGATGTCTACACGCAGGGGCAGAGGTGAGGCTGGCAGTCCCTGCGGCTTCCAGACACCCAGGAGGGGGCTGCAGGGGTGCCAAAAGCAGGAGAGGAGCCAGTGGGGCAGAACCAGGCACCCCCTCACCCTCTGCCTTCTTGTTTCCATGTTCCAGGCGCAGCCCCTGCTGTGTGAGTGCCGCATGCTGCCCTCCTCCCGAGGGCGTTTTCCCAGCCGCAGGAGCTCCGGGGGGGCCTGGCGGGGGTCTGGGTTGGGGCTGGGGAGAAACGGGGCTGCTCTGTGCCTGTGCTCACACCCGCTTGCTACCGCTGCGTCCTGCCACAGTGGGGAGAAGCTGGGTTTGGTGACGGGGCTGGTTTGTCCAGCGTCCTCCTGCTGTCCCCAGGTATTGGAGGGAGGTAAGGGCCACAGATTGCACGTGATGCTGGACTCTGACCCTTCCCTCTGCCAAAAGTGGATTCCTTCTTCCTTCCCCTCTTCCCTTTCTGCCTGCTGCCTGATCTCTGTTTTTAGCCGACTAATAAAGTATTTTGTGTAGAAATCACTGTGCACGCCTTTTGTGTCCAAAGGATAACCCCCCCATGCCCAGCCTCTTCCCCAGATGGGCTGGAGCAGGCTTTCCCTCCTCCTCACCCCCCAAAAATAAAGGTAAGCTCTGCCTCCCTCATCCCAGGAGCGAGACTAAGAGAGCAGCAGCTACCATGGAGCCCCCCAGGAGGAGGCAGATCAGTGCAGTTACCTGGAAATAAGTGAAGAAAACAGGCTGGCATTTGTTTTCATGTAATTCTCTTCACTTGTGTTCCCCTTCCATCAGGGCAGTGCAAGAGGCAGGCAAAGGGAGAGGGGAATGACCATACTGTGTCTTTAAACTCACTGCCCTAGTGCAGGTTGCTGCTGCTTGGGTCTGGACAAGCTGAAGGGTGAGACACGGGACCCACTGTGGGAAGCTGCTGCTCCCCAAACCCCCCCGGGGCTGGAGCAGAGCCTGTGCGGGGCCAGCCAACACGTCCCACAGTCCCAACCCATGCCGCAGCAAGCTGGGCCCTCCTTGCCTGCTTGGGCAGGGGACAACCATCCTCCTTTCCTGAAGAACATGGTTGTTCTCGAGCGCTGCTCTCCGAGGGCTGGGTGGGGGCAAGGGGTGACTGCCCTTCCCTGGAAGCCCCGCCTCCTCACACTGCTCTTGGGATAGGGAAGCCTCAGGCTGCGATTTCAGCTCACGGTGTTGGTCCAGGTTGCTGAAGGGTGACTGACAGCGTCACTGCCTCAATACCAGGAGGAGGGAGAGCAGGCGGAAGGGGGTGAAGGAAAGCCTGACACCCCCAGCGGCAGGCGGTCCCCTGCAGCCATCCGCTCCAGGAGGTCGCAGCTGGGGAAGAAAGCAGCAGGTGAGGCTGAAGTGACAGATCTCCATCCCCACACGTGCCCGGCCCTCCAGCGTGGACTTACAGCATTGCCTCCTTGACGGGGAGGGAGGTCTGGAGCCAGGCGTCAACCGTGCTGCCATGCGCCTCGTACAGCCGAACCACCACGGCGTCCGGTCTGTCCTCAGCCTTTGGGGGACAGCACAAGAGGAGTTGAGACAAATGAGACCCATCCTGCCCCTCAGGGTACGGCCCGACCCAAGCGATGGTGAGTGAGTGGCTCTGCCTGGGTGCACACGTGGTTCCTGACCTGCCGCAGTGTGTGGTACCCATGTACAAATGTGGATACTGCTGTGATCCCTGGTGCCAGGGCCTGCCCAGGCTGGCAGAGAGCTGCTATCCCCCCTCGTCCTCACCTCACAGGACAGGCAAACCAGAGGGATCACTGTTTCCCCTCAGCTGAGCCTGCCCCCTGCCCAGTGTTGGGGAAGAGCAAGCCCCGCTTAACAACAGCAGCTTAACCTGCCTGCCCTCCCCGGCTCTGCCCCGGGGACTTGCCTGCTTGACTGTCTCCAGCACGACGGCAGGGGAGCTGACAGAAAAGGCGCTCCAGGCCGGGCACGGGGCAGAGCTGGCCGGGAATGCGTGGAGGGGGAAATTCAAATTGTAGGCACACTGGATCACACCGGCGTCCTGGAAGGACCCTGCAACACAAGAACCTCCAGCCAGCTTCTACCCACACTCACCCCAAGGCTCCCCAGAGCATCCTCCACCCTGCGTGTCCCCACAGGACCCAGCTCTGCCCACCGCCACTCACCCTGGTGAGGCATCACGGCGTAGGTGAACTGGTGGTGCCCGATGTCTGCCGTGGCATCGGGGGACTTGGGTGCTCGCAGCCTAAGGCAACAAGAGATAGGCGAGATTGGCGTCTCTGCAGCACCCTGTCACCTGGTGCAGAGCCAGAGCAGCACTCTGACAACTGTCTCCCCTGCTGCCACAAGACTGGGCCCTGAGGTGGAGGCCAACATCCTCCTTGTTTTTGGCAAGAGCAAACAGACCCTGGACAAGGTGTCCCAGAAGCTAGAACTGACCTTGGAAGGGTTGTTTCCTGTGAAACTTGTGGCTGATGGAGTCAAACTGAAATAAGCAGAGCTTCCCTTAGCTTTGTATGCATCCATAACATTGCTAGTCCTTCCCCCTCCTTAAGCCTCCCCTCCCAGGGTACGTTTTGGCCAGAAACAGAAAAACGACTGAGTGCAAACGTGGATCTGATCTCTCCTGAATTATCTGTGAGCATAACTCACAGGAATTATCTTATCTTAGTCAACTGTAATTAAGTCAGCCAAAAGTTCTTGGACAAGAGCCAGCCGCACAGACTCATACCAGACTATTTCCTTCCTATGATCATTTAGGACCAGGTGCTGCCTTGACTCCTCAGAAGCAAAGCAAGTGCTGCAGCTCCACCCTACTCTCAGAGGCAAAGGGAGTGCTGCAACTCCACCCTACTCACAGCGAGAGGCTGAGGAGGTTCCCATGGGCTGATGCCCCGTATTTGCAGTCGTTCAGCAGTGCCACCCCGAAGCTGTGCTCGGAGAGATCCAACCACTTGTGAGCCCACACCTGCAGGAGAGAGCAAGGGATGGACTCCCCCCACAGAGCTGCTGCTGGGAGCAAGCACAGCCCCACCGCGGGAGGAGCGGCTCACCCCAGGACCAGCCCACCTCGGCCCTCACCTCGAATCGCGCCCAGTCCCACGGCGTGTTCCAGTGCGTTGGCCGCTGCAGGTGCCCAAACTGGATCTCGTAGGTGGCGTTTGTGCTCCGGACCTGCACAGGGAACTCCACCTTCAGGAACTTGTGAGCCTCCTTCCACTCCACCTAAATGCAGAAGGACAATACCATAGGGAGCTGATGGGCAGAGACCGCACTTATCCTTCCCTGGTGTGCAGCAGCCAGACCAGGTACAATAAAACCGTGCTAGAGTCTGAACACAGATGAACTGGTGGGTCCCCCTGCCACCCTTGTCCCCCAGGAGCCCCACCCTCAGGCTGCCCTCCCCTAAGGCAGAGAAGGACAGGCAGTGGGGGGCTCCAGGGAAGGAAACGGGAGGGGAATATAATTCAGCCGCAAGGTTCAGCTCCCCAGGGCCCTGCTTGCACAGCACAGATGTCCGTACTGCACAGCAGCCAACCTGGGTCAGGAAGCGGAGGTATGGGCACGCAGCATCCAGGATGATCTCCTGGGTCAGGGTGCTTCTTTCCCCGATGCGCAGAGAGAAGCTCACACTTCCCCGCAGGCCCCCAGCCTGGGTGACTTCCAGAGGCTTCAGCAGCATTGTCACTGGTTTCCTAGAGAAAGAGATAAAGGCAGAGCTGGTCTCAGCCTGGCAGATCCTGGTTCCCAAATCCGAATCCAACCTCCCACACAGCAGGCACTCCTTTCTCTGGAGTCAATGCTCGGTTACAGCTAGGACTGCCAGGGAGGCAAGAATCCCAGAGCAAAGTTAAAATCCAAGTGCCGCACAAACTGCTCCTCTACCTGGTTTCCAGGTGATAATCCATCACGTCCCAGGCATCCCAGTACAGGGGAACATCATCAAAGAGTGCAAACTGGTTGGCATAGCAGCCATCTGGGACTGACTCTCTGGAACAAAGTGGGACAGAGGAACAGCAGCGTAAGAAGAACGGCAGCAGTGAAGGGCTTACCATGAGAAGACCCAAGACAGGTTTGAGGGGCCTGGTTCCAAGAACCAGGTGAGAGACGTACCTCTCGGAGTGCAGCAGCCGAAGCGAGGTCAGGCGGCCCACCGCATCCAGGCAGGCTGTGATCACCCCGTTCTCCACAGCAATGGAGCCGTCCTCCTGGGGAAAAGGACAGACACAGATTTCACAGACCTACACCTGTGGGGGCTGAGGTGGGTAAAAAGTGCCCCAATTGCAAATCTAGCGTGCAGCCTTGCTGCAAGCTGGATTCCCTAGATTTCTCCCCAGTCAGACGCAGGGTACACGGGTCTGAGGACACCCGCTGTTATGCGTACCTGTTTCCTCACTGCCACGGGCTGAGGGGGCTGCAACGGCTCACTCACCACAGCATAGCCCATGCTGGGGACTGTCACCAGAGCTGGAAAGCAAAGAGGTTCTGTTCCAACATCTTCCCCAGACACACCATGCTGCCTTGCTGCTCTCACGTCAGACCTGCCACCTCCTTTCAGATCCTCCTCCTCAACCACAGTTCAGGGACAATTTGAAGCTGCATCAGCCCCAAGGAGTGACGACAAGCAAGTAAACCCTCCCCAGGCAGAGAGAGACAGAGTATTTCTCTGCTAGCTGCCTCTGCCCCTGTAAGAAATCCTGATACACAAGACACCCCGAAGTCAGACATACCTAAAGTCTCTGTTCCGGCTGGCCCAGTCCTGGAGATCACCTCGGTGCGTTCCCAGGGCAAAGTGTTCAGCACAAGGATGCCCGCGGCGCTCCCTGCCTGGGCCTGCAGCAGCTCCCCACACAAGGACTGCACAGCTTCCTCCTGCAGCCTAGCGCCAGTCCTGCGGATCTCTGAGCAAATACAAGGCCTGAGTTCTACACAGCCCGGCCATTTCTCATCTCTGAGAGAGTTTCTGTTTCTCATGTACACACACTTTAGCTGCTGCCAAGCTATAATTATCATTAGTATTAATTACTGTTATCTGTTAGTAAAGAATTAAAGTTTATAATTATTCTTAACTTTGTTATTACAACACTACAATGAGCTATGCCAGCCCTCCTGGAAAACTGTACTATAATTTATATTATACTTCACTATAATAAAGTAA